GTCAAATAAAACAGAGCTACGCATGAGAGCCTTCATTTGCGGTGTCCACCACATGATAGAAGTCCTAGGATTCTCAAGGAAGACTGGCACGTTGAGGGAAGTACACATCTTGATCAACACGACACTGAACATGAACGAGGCATTGCCAATCCTGATGCGCTCCTTCTCAGCATCCGAAAGGTCTGGCACTCCGAAGGGCAGGCCGCTGCTACGAATGGGCCTTCTCAAGGCGCGAGTCCAAGACGTGCAAGGTGTGCCAAGCCAAAGCGCCCCAACACAGCCTGAGGAGAGCCAGCCTTTGATGACCTTCTGAAAGGACGGATCAAGGTGGTCTTCTATCGCATTGTTTACAATATCGAAGGAGAGAGAGAGGGAGAGAGAGAGAGAGAGAGAGAGAGAGCGATATCCCTGAGCGCGCAAGGCGTCTCCAACTCTCCCAGCACCTGAGAATATCTCCAAGAAGACCAGCCTCTTCATGGAACGGACTTGCGGAGTGGCGCTGGCCCTGAAGCAGCGCTGTAGGTACCTGCGGACTTCGCCCTCTGAGAAATCGCCGGCAGGCCGCGGGGGATGGCGCTGCCTGGGCCCAAAGCAGCGGCGAGGCGCGAGGGCAGACGCACCGCCGACAGCGGACCCACGAAGCCCTCGGACATCACGTTGCTGAAGTTCGCCTCCACGGCGCGTCCTAGCGCAAATGCGTCCTCGGGCACCTTCGCCATCTCCAGGAGGAGGCGCGTGGTCTTCCCGTACCTCTTGACACTTGTGAGGGTGGCCCACCGGCCTCGGACCTTGACCTCCTCTTGGCTCCTCGCGAGGATCCGCGCCAGCGACGCGAAGTGGCGCTGCAGCTCCGCGGGCGAGAAGTCCCAGAGGCTGCCGTCGGGGCGCGACTGAGCCTTGAGGGCCTCCAGCGAGGGCAGCAGCCAGTCGCAGCGGTCGAGCAGGACAGCGGCGTCGAACATCCCCGTCTTGCCCTGGTCTCCGACCGACGCGTCGTGGAGGAGCAGCCCCCGCGAGCTGCGCTGGCGGCCGGCCGCGATCTTCGGCGCCGCCAAGTGCGAGCCGCGCAGCTGGAACGTCTCGAGCGGCCGCAGGTAGGCGATGAACGTGAGCGCCACCCAGAGACACATGCGCGGGTGGCCCAAGTGGCGAAGACAGCCCGCCAGGGCTAGGGCCGCCGCTCGAGGGAGCGGGAGCCTCATGCGCGGAGGCGCCCTCCGCCGCCAGGCCGCCAGGCAGCGGGTCGCTCTGGAGAGCTTCTCGGCCGTCGCCTTGTAGAGCTCCGGGTGGAAGTGCGACGGGCTGACCAGCAGCTTGGAGGCCTCCTCGACGCTCGACCCCTCCAAGAACTCCGCGCTGAAGTACGAGACCAGGAGGGTGTCCAACTCCTGCGGCGACCTCCAGTCCGTCCCGGTGCTCTGGCAGAAGCTGGCGAATGCGGCTGCTGCGCCCAGGTGCCGGCGCTCGGTGCCCGGCTTGATGGCCGGGCGCTCCAGCAGGCTGAGGCTGCCGCTCGCCTGCCGCTGCTGCGCCAGGCGGGTCGCTGACGACGCCCGCTGCCCCTTGAGCAGGCCGGCCCGCGACGCTGGTCGAGCCTTCGTCCGCGCCCGCCTCCCGCGAGCGGCCTTCGGCGCCATGCCGAGAGTCGTGGGCGCCGCCGGAGGTGTCAGCCTCCGAGAGCACAGGGAAGGGTGGAAGCGGTGGAAGGGCGTCAGCCGCCAGAGTGCTAGAGCCAGGAAGGCTACGCCGCAGACGCTCTCGGAGATGTGGCCCAACGAACCAGCCCAGCTTGCCCCGAGAGGGTGCATCCGAAGGGTTGAGCTCCGATGGGGTCCATCTGATGTGGAACTGGGGCCCAGATGCCGACGATAAGCAGGCCTGCTTGCGAAGAGGCCAAAGAAGGTGATGAGAGGCGCCTCGGCCCTTGCAGGCCGCGAGCGCCAACGGCAAGTTGTCTACCAGCAGGGCCGCCACCTCCTCGAACCTGGCCTCCGAAACCTCTAGAAACTTCTGAACCTCTGTGAACTCGTCGACGTTATCAGCGTTGCCCACGGGGTCCCCAGAGGCTCGAGGCACCCGATCAGGACATGCAGGAAGCGAACTGCCAGCGGGCTGCCCGCAGATGTCGGAGGGAAGGTTGAGGGCGTTTTTCCGAGCTCGCTCAGCGCCCGCCACATGATACCTCCAGCGCTCTGCGTACCGACCGACGATGCCTGCGCGCTCCGGCGCCACGGAGCGAGTGCACACACCGATGCCGAAGAGGGAGGCGTCGGAGGAGGCGATAACATTGTGCCAAGGGATATCGATCTAGGTGAACAGAAGGGGGAGGATCGACCGAAACGTCCACAGCTCCTGCCGAACACTCGGCCGCAGCTTCTGCGGGGTCTCGTCCACAAACTGCATATACTTATAAGTGGCGCTGAAAAAGGCCAGCACCTCTCTCCGAAGCAGCGAGATCCAGGTGCACACGCCGCGCCTGAGCAAAGCCTCGATGCCGTACCGAAGACGCCACAAGTTTTTGGCCGTCACCGAACCCGTTGATCCGTTGGTGAACTCGAGTCCGACGAGCGACACCTCTCGGCTAGCAGGGCTCAACTCGTGCACTGAAAGCCCCAGGGACTCCAATCGGCGGCGTACTCTGTCCAGGCCGCCCTGAACTGCGGCTCGATCCGAGCCGAGAATCATGAAGTTATCGGCCCAGCACCCGCCGTGTCCAACGCGCGCTGGAGAGACGCAGCCGGCAGTCCGTCCTCGATCGTCTGCGTGGCATCGAAACCCTCGTTCACCAGTGCGTGTCGAAGAACGCTCTGACAGATGTGCAGGGCCCAGGACCATCCCATCGGAAGAACGCAAACGCGCGGAGCAATCATTTCCTCAGGGGCCACTGGGGTCTCGTCGAGTTCCACGATGCCCAAATGCCTAGCAGCGATCGCGGGCAGCCTAAACATCTCGTCAAGCCCGTCGGGGATCGCAAGCCTATAAAAAGCGCGCTCGATGTCGCCAGCTGCAAAGAACGTCTCCCTCCCAACGTTCTCAAACCCCGAGAAGGCTCCCGGCGTAGGAAGACGTGTCCGAGGAGGGTCAACAAAACTGGTCCTAGCAGCTCTCGTGTCAAAGATGAGTCTGAGGTGGCCGGATTTTTTTGGCGACAAAAAACGCGCCCACGGTGGCAGCGCGTCCGGCGGCTCTGCGATACTTCACAATCCCGCGCTGCCTCAGCTCTGCTACAAAATCGCCATAGGCAAGCGGGTGATGCTTCAGAACTGGATCAGTGTAGGGCCCATTCGGACACAGCTCCGCGCGCAGAGATTCCGCAGCAGCAAGCGATCTTAGCACATGATCGCGCCAGCGGCCGAGCCAATCCGAGTCGGCCCTCGCGAGACAGTCGGCGAGCGCCGACGGAGCGTTGCCCCTAGCGGGCCAAGAGACGCTGCTCTTGACATACGGCCGTTGGGTAGAGGACTCATCCGAGTAGAGACCTGGCCCAGCAAAGAGCGCGCCGAGGGCTCCCTTGCGAAACGAGGGGTCGCCAGGAGGGGCGGGGGCACCGAGGTGAGCCGACTCGATGTTCCGAAGGGCGCACTCCTGACTAGCATTCCGCACCGACGAAGGCGGAGTACTGAAACCGAAAAAACTAGCTCAGGCAATCCACACCATCGCGAACCCAGGCCAGAGCGTGAGAACTTCGCGCCAGCCGCCGGGCGGTGCCACGTGAGAGAGATGCCTTAACGCGGGCGTCAGAGCCAGCGCCAGGAGCAGGCAGCGGAAAAATGTTCCGATGCCGAGCAGGACACTTGGCAGACGCCTCTGAGCAATGAATGTCAGCTCCTGCAGGCAGGCCAGCCGGAGACGCAGCTGGCCGGGGAAGCATCACCCCTGCTCCTGCTCTTTGTTGCCCTTGGAGCCCTTCTTGGGGCGCGCCAGGGCACGCTCCTCGCGCGCCTTCCGGCGCTCCTTCATCACAGAGTATTCCTTCGAAAGCTCACTGGCGAGCCACTCAGTGAGCGCGGGCATGATGCAAATATTGCCTCGCACAAGGTCCGTGCCTCGCGCGAAGTGGGTGTCGAAGCGATCGTCGCTTCCTCCCGCGATCTTGTCCCGGTGGCGTTCCTCGGCCACCTGGGGCTCACGGGCTGCCAGCTCGGCCGAAGCAACATTCGGCAAGTTGAGCTGGTCATAACACGCGAGAGTCTCTTATCAACCTGCATGCACATTCGTGCGAGTCGACATGGGGATCACCTGGCTGAAGTTTGCAACCTGCTCGCCATCTATTGTGGCGCTCCGAGAGGTGTGCGCCCGTTTGATACAATAAACCTGCAGACCCATAAAAAAGTTCTAGGACCCCGCACGGGCCAGTCATCCCACGCATCTTCCGTGAAGAGCGACACTGCGTCTCTGAACTCCCGAAAACGACCGCCCGTGGCATCGTGCATCACTGGGCGCGCCCGAACGTCGCCATGAGCACCGACGGCCGGGGGAGGCGCAGCTGCCGCGGCAGGAAGAGGCGGAGGAGCTCCGAGCGCCGCCGCGGCGGCCGGCGCGACAGGGCCTCCTGCCCCCGCGGCCTGAGCGGGAGGGGCAGCGGGCCCGGGCGCAGGGCCGACCCTGAGCTTCCTATCTGCGCTAATTAGCTATATACGCTAATCGTATGCACTAATTAATACTGATTCGCTCTTACATGAGTATTGCTGACTCCGCTCTAATTAGGGCTGACGATTAGCGTTGGTTCTGGCTAGTTCCATGGGGCTCGCGTATCATGCATGCGTCTGTGAGCACAGCCATGATGTTCGTATATCGTTTGCTGTTGTCTTTCTCCTCTTCCTCTCCCCTTCGCCCGCCCGCCCCACCTCCTCGCTTTCCAAAAAATAGCCTCAGGCTGCAAGTTGACGCATGTATCAGCAGCAATCGCTAGGCCCCTCAGCAGGGCAGCATCGCGCCCGCTGTCCGAAGGCATTGCGGCTCGAGGACCAACGCGCGTGCAGCGTTTTCGGTTCACCGCCATGCCCCGCGCGAGGTGCGAGCTCTCGGACCATGACCTGCAGGCCATCGTGCTCGAGCACGTCGCCGAGGTCGAGGCGATGAAGACGGAGCAGGGCGATGCAGAGTACACAATCAAGAACAACATGGGCTTGATGGGGTCTCTGATGAGCGTCGCCCGCAGGGTGGGTCACGTGCCGCTTACCAAGGCTATCTTGGCCAAGACGGTGCTCGCGAAGGAGCAGGCGCAGAAGCACGGGAAAGCGATTTCGTACGCTGTGAGTTACGTGTGCGCCAAGGAGCGCAACATGGCGACAGGCGGGAGAGTTCCCCCCCATGTCAGGATCCTTCTGCACAAAGCGAGTCATCTGCCAGCGCCATCACCACCCCCTGAGTCATCGCCAGATGGTCGGCGCGTCTTTGCCGCAGCAGCGCCTGCGAGATCCTCGTCGTGCGCGGACATCTACAGCGCGCGCGGGCGCGGCTCGCCGCGCAGGCTCGTGGCCAAGACGCCCGAGAAGAAGAAGGGGGCGCCGGCCTGCGTGGACTTGGTCGACTCGCCACCAACAGTGGACTTGCTGTCGCCAAGTGCGTGTCCGTCGGCGCACGTGCAGGAGCGCTGCATCTGTATATTCATGTTTGTATACTGTGCACATGTATGTTCATGCTCATGTTTATTCACGTGTATGTTCATGTTATGTTTATGCAAATGTTCGCGTGCGTGCACAGGTCGCGCGCGCCCATTGTATTCCGTCAGGACACATCCACTTTGAAGGGGCACGTTGACTATGATGCCTTCGTGTACGTTATCGAGGACGCTTCGGGGAGGCGCGAGTACCCTCTGGCGCGCGGCGACAGAGGCTTCTGCATGGCGGGCCTCGGAGGCGGCGGGATGGCCCACGTGCACACAGAGATGCCGAATCTCCTGCTCGACGAGAAGGAGAAGATGCTGGCCAAGCGGGCTTCCAGGGATAAAGCCAAGGCGGCCGCCAAGGCGAGGCCACGCGACGAGGGGCGCGATGTCGAGGATTTGCAGTAGGAAGGGGGCGCCTGCGGCCGAGGCGCCCAAGGCCGAGCCCAAGCCCAAGCCCAAGCCCCCAAGGCCAGGGCCGAGTGCAAGAAGAAAACAATGAAGACTGCGTTGAAAAGGCCAGCTGGCTACGGCGCCCACTACGTGGAGATGTGCTACAAGGCGTCCTGCAGCATCGCCGTGCGCCAGAAGTCCGAGCCGAAGCGGCAGGTGGCATCCAGCGGGGGCGCCCGCTACAAGGACTGCGACGTGGATGCCATGCGGGCCGTCGGCCGCGAAGCAGTGGCCTTGATGGGCAAGGGCGAGCTTGGCGAGGATGGCGCAGCGTCGTGGATGACCAGGGGGCTGACAGAGAAGTTCGGGAAGTGAGGGCGCGCTTGCTAGCCAAAGTGTGAAGCGCCAGTAGATCGCATCATGTATGTTGCGCTCGAAGCGCCGCGGTTAATTTCCTGGTTGATTTTCTCCTGGCTCGGTGAGCCGGCAGAGCCCCTCGGCGTTAATTTTCTCATGGTTAGTTTTCTCCTGGCTCGGTGAGCCGACAACCGCGTTATTTTTCTCCTGGTCCGTGCGTTCTCTCTTCGCACGCAGCAGGCTATGCACGAGTATCGCGTGACGTGGCCGACGTGCATCTCGCGAGAAAAAAGTGTTCTCTAAAAAATGGTCTCCTGTGCAGGAGGCTGCCTCTTTTTTTTTTTTTTGTTTCTCTCTCTCTCTCTCTCTCTCTCTAACACTCCCTCTTTGTGGTTGTTTTCTCTCTCTCTCTCTATCTTCTCTCTCTATCTTCTCTCTCTCTCTCTCTCTCTCTCTCTCTCCCTCTCTCGCTCTCTCTCGCCCTTCCCCTCTTTTTTTGTTCTTATTTTTTGTGTTCTATATGTGTATGTATTTCTACATGTCCTTCTCTTGGTGCACGCCCCCTCTCTCTGTCTATCGTTCTCTTTCCCTGTCTCTCCGCCCTCTCCGTCCCTCCCCATCTCCCCCCTCCCTCTCCTTCCATTTCCTCTGAAAAGATGGCCTCCTGTGTAGGAGGCCGCGACGCTGGAGCGCCACGCCTTGCGATGAGGCGATCGCGCCTGGCTGGCCACAACAGATTGCCATAGCGCTGGTGCGGTCTGGTCCCCCCCCCCCTCCTCGGGGCTTGCGTCTGGCTGGTTCCTTTCTCGTGAATTCGGGCTCCGCGTTCGCGTCGGTTCGCGGCTCGGCTGGCGCGTCTCGTTCGCGGCTGCTTCGTTTTTGGCGGACGGTCTCCTTCGTTTTCGATGCTCGGTTTCGGCTACCGTTGGTCTAGTGTGCACGGGTGCATGGTTTTGTGTATAGAGCAATAGAATTATAAAAATAGCAGATATATTGACCGATTGATTGATAGATATATTGATAGATTGACCGGTTGATTGACTGATGCAGTCAATCAATCGACCTGCCAATCCTTAAGGATTGGCAGGTTGATTGATTGATTGGTCGTCTGATTTATTGGCTGATAGACTGGTGGATTGACCTGCTTTGCTTCGAACAATTTTGACCGATTTTTTTTTCGCGCAGCCACGCCGACTGCAAGGTGCCCGACGAGTGGCGACCTTTCGAGTTGCTTTCTCGACGGCTTCCGCGGCGCAGATGGCGCTGCTCGCCCTGCTCTCGGCAGTGGCGGCGTTGCTGCCTTCTCCGGAGGAGGGGCAGGGCATGGGTGGCAGTGGCAGGGGCAGCAGCGGCAGCGAAAGTAGCCGTAGCAGAGAAGTGGGTAGCAGTAGCAGTAGCAGCGCAGGTTTTGAGAATGCACGCGCGCGCGGGTCAGGCGATGATGATGGCAGCTGCGCCTGGAGGCGACGCTCCACCACCAGGAGGAGGCGACGACCGAAGGGGCGCGCGCCCTGATTTCCAGGAGGGGCCAGGCGACGAGGAGGAGGAGGAGATGGAGTACGATGAGGTGCACTGGCTCATCTCCCAGAGCGACGGCTGGCAGCAGACAGAGAAGGGCCGAGCTTGGGCGGGGCAGCCCATGCGTTTGTTCCTTCGGAACGGGCCAAAGCATTGCAACACATGCAGCTGTTTCGCTTATATGGGAGGCGGGGTTGGCTGCGTGTCTCCGCAGTGGCAGGCAGATCAACAGCGCGCCTGCATGGAGAGCGCCGCGGATTCCCGCGGCAGCATTCCAACGGTGATGCATCCTGCAGCGCATTGTCGACAGTCTGGTCGGACCACCACCATTGTGCTAGATGCCATGTCAACGAGCGGGAGCAATGCGCGGCCCTGGAAGCCGATCAAACGCAGGAAGCAGAACAAGGGCCAGGCGCGCGGCAGGCCATTGGGCCCGCCAGACAATTTGCCCTCCTTTGCAAGAGAGCTGATTGGGCCACGGAGTGGAGAGTCGGACATGCAGGATTGAGGCGGGGAAGGGAAGCAAGGAAGGAAGGAAGGGCAGGGCGACCAAGAACGAAGAGTAGTGATAGAGAGAGACGGTGAGAGAGAGAGAGAGAGAGAGAGAGAGAGAGAGAGAGAGAGAGAGAGGGAGAGCGAGAGAGAGAGAGAGAGAGAAAACAACAACAAAAAAAACGCAAGAGAGAAACAGAGAAAGAGACAGAGAGAGCGAGCGCGCCCGCCCCCCCCGCCGGAGGTGGATCTCGTCGATGAAGGCGATGGAGGGACGCGAAGTGTTTTCTGCCGATCAGCTGGCCCCGCAGGAATGGCTAGAGCCTCCGCAAGCAGAGCCGCCAGCCCCCGATCCCGTTCCGAAGCCGACGGGGGCGGCCGCTTCGGACCCAGGAGCGATCATGCAGCATCTGCAGCAGCTTCAGATGCAGCAGATGCAGCAATTTCAGATGCAGCAGCTTCAGCAAATGCAGCAGCAGATGGCAGCAGCAGCGCCGCTCGCACCGCCAGGCCCGATCCCGCGAGCAGCACCGCCTCCATTGGTGGCAGCGCCAGTTGCGGGACAGCAGCAATTTCCAACAATTGCGCCAATCGCTCCTCTCATTCTCCCGCCGTTGCCAGTGATCGAGTCGAGCGACGGACTTCGCGCTGCAACGAAATCAGGTTCTGCCGTGAAGCACGGAACCCATGCCGGCGCCGACGAGAATTGCACCATCGTCGGAAGCTGCCTCCGTTTCCCCAGCAACGTCAAGCAGCCCTCAGACGAAGATAACGAACGCGGCGGCAGCGGGAGCGGATCAGCGCCGTCTCGTAGGCGGCTCAAGGACAAGAGTGACGCCGCCAATTACGACGCGCCACGCCCCAAGAAGAAACCGAGGAAGGAGTGAGAGCTCCCATGTCCGTTTGCACTGAATCAAGGGGGCGCGCCCCTTGAATCTTCGCCACCTTCGGCGCCTGAAAACAAACCCCCACCCTCTCGCGATGGGGCCTGCAGTGGGGCGGGGCAGGGCAGAGATAGAGTTGCAGATTGAATGGTTAGAGTTTTGCATGCCATATTGTAGTATGTCTCCTCAGTAGGAGGCAGCGGGGCAACTGATCGCGCAGTTTGAGTTGCAGAGACCCAAATGCGATTCAAGTACGACGCAAGTTTTTCATGAAGAAATCGCAGACGATTGACGGCACTTGCTTCGCATGGTTGAAAACGCACAGTGTTCAGGAGAAACAGTGCGTGAAATGCTGGACAGCTTCGGAATCCAAATTGCACGTTGCATTTTCCGTCGATCATGCTGCAGACGAGTATCGTTTCTAGAAAGCGCTTGCCGCTATGGAAAACGACCCTTTTCTCTCCAAATGGGTCGTTTCCTGCTCTGTCAGCAAACGTGATGCCCTACGCGCCACCAAGAGAGGGCCCAATACACAAGTCACAGATTCTACCAGTAAAAACGTTCCTTCACAAAACAAGCAGTAACAACTTTTACGGGTAACACCTTTTACCATGTGTAATGATGTGTGTATGCGCACCATTTATATGTAATATTGTATGATATTATGTATGGTATGGTATGGTATGGTATGGTGGTGGTGGCTCATTCGGCTTATACCTGATAGGCTCGGTCTGATCGTCTTCGTCACTCGGAGTTTCGTGAACTTGGTTTTTGAATTGGCTGACTGCTTCCGTCTCCATCCGCCTCCTCAACGGTTTACGGTGCGCGCAATAAGCAATCTGTTGTGGTCAGTCAGTGCGTCGTTTCGCTTGGTCGCGGCGTTGGCATCCGCAATCGTTGTCTGAACGATCCGTCTTGTCTGTAGCTGTTTGCTGGCTCAAGCGGTGACGTTAGTTTCGCTTTGCATCTGCGCAATCGTTCTTCTTGCAAGCTTTCCCACCCGCGCAGCATCAACCCGCGTCGGAATTGCAGATATGGTGGCCAAGAGGCCAGCAGCTGCGATGCCTGAGGATTGCGACGAGGATGCGCATCCTCCAGTGCTCAAGAGGCCCGCCGCGGCTCCAGTTGAAGCAGCGCCTGCGCATCCCACGGCGACGCAATCTCCACCGCCAGCGCCGCCCCCATCGTTGGCTCCGAAGCCAGAAGGAGACGGCCAAAACGTTCCAGCTGCTCCTGGCCAAACAACAGAAGAAGCCATCTGACCACCAGGAACAGGCGCTCGCAGAGACCGATCAGGAGGTTGCGACAGCTGATCCCAGAGCGGTGAAGAGCTTCGAGAACTCGCTCCGCTACCATGCCACGAACCGCGGGACGGGCGCCGCCGAAGAGTCCCGCGCTAACGCTCAGAAGGCCTTAGACTCATGGTTGGAAATGCCTGGCGGGAGCAGCGACAGACGCAGTTTCATCGCTGATGTTGAGAATAACGGTGGTTTCAAGAATTTGAAATGGGTTCATTCTTGCGCTAAGTCGCGCGAGAAGAAGGAGCGCGAGACGCATTCCCACCAGGAGGGCATGTCCACCAGGCTCTCCAACCGACGATATCCAATCGCGGCGCTCCCCCTTATCTCCCGCCCCCTCCACTATCGCGCCTCATCCCCCGCCTTCCCGCCGCTGCCCTTTTCATCTTTCAGTCTCGCCCTTGTGCCCCCCCCCCGCCTACGCTAGAATGAATGTGGAGAGGTTATATAGTGATGGAATGAAGTGGATTACTTTGTTTTCAAAAAGCAAGAGAAAGTGGATAAGCAAACCTCGCCCCTCCGGCATGAATCAATCATTTTGGGGCGTCTGCCGTCGGCACGCCATGATTCCTAACGTTGCCCAAGGCGAAAATCCTGGAGTTCAACGGCATCCACGCGAACGTGTTCACCATGGATCAGGCGCAACAGCAGCGCGCCAGCGATTCGTGCATTCGTTTGGTAGAACAAAAATTACATCGCTCTTGGCCTGGACCCTCGGATGGCGAGAACACACTGTGCCATCGACGAAGCGGGGCCGTTATTGTCGCAGCACTACTACAGGAACACGACGAAGACCATGACCAGCACCGACGAGAGGAAAAACCTG